GATAAGGGAAGAGGAAGGGATGGGAAGGGAAAGGAAGAGGAAGATAATGAAGGAGACGGAAGGGGAGGAAAGTAAGATAAACTAAAATTAGGTAGAGGAGAGAGGATGTGGGGGAGGGGGGGATATGAAGGGGATGTGCCTGAGGGAGGGAGGTTGGGTTTGCGTCACAGGGTAGAGGGAAGGCACACGAGACATGCTTGCCTGAGCACAAATAACCCCGGAACCTACCCGCTGCTCGGCCCCTTCCTGCTTCAGCGCTCGCTTACTATCCCCCCCCCCCTTTTCCCCTACCTCTCTCTCTCTCTCTCTCTCTCTCTCTCTCTCTCTCTCTCTCTCTCTCTCTCTCTCTCTCTCTCTCTCTCTCTCTCTCTCTCTATCTCTCTCTATCTCTCTCTCTCTCTCTCTCTCTCTCTCTCTCTCTCTCTCTCTCTCTCCTATCTGTCCTTCTCCCTTCCTCCCTCACTCATTTTCTTCCCACCTTCCCCTCCCTCTCCCCTTCCTATGTCTCCTTCTCCCTCCCTCTCTGTCCTTCTCCCTTCCTCCCTCACTCATTTTCTTCCCACCTTCCCCTCCCTCTCCCCTTCCTATATCTCCTTCCCTCCATCCTTCACCCTCTCTCTCCCTCTCTTCCCTCCTCCCACACGCCACTCCACTCTTCCTCCCTTCTTCTCTCCCTCCCTTCTTCCCTCCTCCACCCTCCTTATCGCCATTCCGCCTCCTCATCTTCCCTCATGACCCACTCCTAGCCCTGCACCCCCCCTCCCCCACCAGCATGACGCGACAGCTCAGCCGTGCTAAGGGGACGCTCGCTCTCTATGGCGCTGTGCCGTGAATGTTTGCTTGCCTTCTCTCCCCCAGGCTCTGATTTCTCCGGCCGTCAGGTACGGGGTGAGTCAGAGAGAGAGAGAGAGAGAGAGAGAGAGAGAGAGAGAGAGAGAGAGAGAGAGAGAGAGAGAGAGAGAGAGAGAGAGAGAGAGAGAGAGCACCTGTGGCACCAAACGCTGCGTGTGTATGCTGACGTTTTATTTATTCTTTTTTATCCTTCGTGAAAGATAAGGCTTCCTCCTGTGCAACCTAAGAATACACGCGTTGCTGGTTGGTGGCCCGTGGTTTTGGTTGTGGTTGGGAGTAATCGTGGCACGGTGGCATTGGCGGTGGCGAAGGTGGCACGGTGCCAGGTCTTTCTATGGGCAGAACCAGGTGAGGTAGAAGAGAAGGGGAAGAAGAGAAGTAGGAGAAGGAATCAGAAGGCGAATGGAAAGAAAAACGGGGAGATCTTACGCAAGATAACGCAATAAGGATGACCTTAGTGTATTGGTAGGGGTGGGGAGAGAGTTGTGAGGGGGGTATGCGAGGGAGCTAAGGGATTTAGGGAGAACGTGGGGAGGGGGAGGGGGGGCTGAAGCACTCTTCTGGCCAACCACTTGTAAAGAGATAGGGAAGAGCGTTTTTAACCCTAAAATGTAAGTCGAGCGGAGAATTCTCTCTCTCTCTCTCTCTCTCTCTCTCTCTCTCTCTCTCTCTCTCTCTCTCTCTCTCTCTCTCTCTCTCTCTCTCTCTCTCTCTCTCTGCTCTCTCTCTCTCTCTCTCTCTCTCTCTCTCTCTCTCTCTCTCTCTCTCTCTCTCTCTCTCTCTCTCTCTCTCCCTCTCTCCCCCCTGTCTCTCCCCCTGTCTCTCCCTCTCTCTCTCTCTCCACGCTCACTCCACTCTCTTTTTACTCTTTTCTCTCCCTTTCCGTCCCTCCCTCCTTTCTCATCCTTTCTTCCCCTCCCTTTCCTCCACTCATCCTCCTTTCTTCCACTCCTCCTCCTTTCTTCCCCTTCCCCTCCCTCCCACCACTCTCCTTTCGCCCTGTATCGTTCCCCACAGATCGGCCTCGTTCCTTCGGTTCCGAACGCGACCGCAACCCTGAGTAGCCATTAGTTTTAAGACTGGTCCGCAGTCATAGTCTTTCCTCCTCTTCTCTTCTACTTCCCTCCTTTTCCTTTTTATATCCCCTTGTCCCACCTCTTTCCTCTCGTTATCTTCCCCATCCTCCTCTTCCCTACCCTCCTCTTATCTTCCTCATCCTCCTCTTCTAAGCTTCCCTTCCCTCCACATCTCCAGGTCACCAACCCCCTTCCTTCTCCCTTCCCTCGTTTCTTTCCCCTATGACCCAGCCTTTTTTAGTTGCAAGAATATAACGTCGTGTGTTTTATTCTGTTGTTCGCCGGTGCTCAGACCAGACGAATGAATGAATCGATGCAGATAATGGGGCGACAACAATGCTGACGCGAGGATGGTGGCGGTTGCGGAGGTGGAGGAGAGGAGAAATAAGTGGAGGTGGAGGTACAGGTGAAGATGAAAGGAAGGAGGTGAAGGAAGAGACTCTGGGAAATAGAAAGAAACAGGGAAAAATGAAAGACAAGAAAAAAAGAGACAGAAAAATTTAGAGAGGCATACACGTTCCACCGCCACAATGCAGCTGCGTGTGCGTGTGTAAATGTCGCCCATGTGTGCGAGCATTTCACTGATTTCGGGAATTGGCCGGATTAGGCGAGGGCGGTTGTGTGGGGCGGATGAGGCCCACCTGTGACCCTTGTGCTGCGATTATTTTGCAAGGATGATGACGGTGGTGACGGTAGTGGTGGTGATGATGATTATTATTAGGCACTTACATTTGTCTTTACTGTTAATGTTATTTTATCATCAATAATAATAATGGTAGTGGTATTATCATTATTTTTTTTTAAGTATAACTGTACTGATGATGATTTTATTTTGTGCCCAGTGCGTTGTTTACAGGTTTTGCCTTCTATTTAGCATGTCTGCAAATCCGATGGGTCACTCAGTCGTTTCCAAAGTGGGCGGAGTTTCTGGTGTTGCGTGCGTGCATTTGCCTCGTGGCCGCGCAACTTCATAGACCCTATTATCGGTTTGTGATGGGGGGGGGGGGATAGGGGAGGACAACAGAGAGAAAGAAAAAGTATTGAATGTATGAGCAAGTTCATCGTATGCATATCTGGTTGTGTAGGAGTAGGTGTATGAGTTGCTATGCACGTATGAGCGTGCGTTCGAGCACGTATCCATATAGCTACGAAGTGTGTGCATTTTCCTGAGGTGCATTGCATCCCCTGGCCGACGCTGCGTTGCACAGCCTCCCTGCCCGCCGTTGCCCTTCCTGGGCCGACACAGGTGGCACCCGCGGTACCCTGGCACGCTTGGGCCTTGGTGCTCGTCATCGGAGCTGAGGTGCTGGAGGTTCTCTGTGGCGGCATTGGGGATGACTTTGTGGGAAAAGAGGGGGGGGGGCACAGGAGGAGAGGGACGGGGCTGCGATGGTTCCGGGGGGAGCGGGGCCGGAGAGGACGGATAATGCGAGTGGGAGAGTGAGCGGGGTGGATGAGATAGGTGGGGAAGTCGTGGGAGGGAGTGGGCAAGCTGGGGGGGGGGGAGTATCCACGGAATGAGGGCAGCTGGGGAGGGCGCAAAGGGTTCGTGGACAGGGGGTGAGGGAGATAGGTGGGAGGTGAGGTTCTAAGGAAAGGGGAGCGGAGAGGGATTCTGAGAGGGTGGGCTGGATGGGATTGAGGTAGGAGGGCGGGGCGAAGTCACAGAGGTGGCTAGGTGAGTTGGTGGGGCATGTTTGGGCGGGGGGGGGGGCTCCCAGGGTGGGTAGAATAGAGGGAGAGTTCAAGTCTGTTTCCGTGTTGGAGGCGCTCGTTTGCCTCGCGAAGAATAGGAGGCAGATAGAAAGAGTTTGGTAAAGGGAGGAAGTAAGAATAGGGAAAGAAAAAGAAGGAACCGAGGAAGATTAAGGAGACGAAAAAAAGATGGAAGAGGCAAAAGAAAGAAACAAAAATGAAAAGAAATAGAGTAGTTCGTGGAGGGAGATAACAGAGAGGGGGAGGCATGAAAGCAAAGGGGAGAGGGAGAAAGGAAGAAAAAGTCAAAATAAAGAAGAAAGACAAGAAGGGAGCCGAGAGAAGGGTAGAGGAGAGTGTGCATTGTTTGAGATTAAACGGGAAGTTGAGCAGCGACAGGCGCCGTTCATTCATTCATTTACTCATTTGGTCGTCGCAAGCGATTGACATTCTTTTCGTGTGTGCTGATGTTAATGACGGACCGAGTTAATTAGCGGATTGATTCATCGGTCGTCGCTAATTAATTGGCCAGGTAATTGTATCATATTTTTTTTCATTATTGATAGAAAGATTATTCATTAGTGAAGGCCCGTCTATTGATTCTGCCAAGCGGCTGTCGGTCGGTAGTTTGAAAAGTTCTGACGTCGTTTAACGAGCCGATGGAGATGTTTGGGTGGCTGGAAATCGGGGGGGGGGGGGATCAGCTGATCGACGGGTGACGTTCGCCGTGGAGTGAGTAGAAGGAGGCGATGGAAAACGGATTACAGGTGAAAGTGGCCCGGAGATGAGGATAGCTCTGATGGTGGGTCGGCGGGTGGAGGGAGAGGGTGTGTGGGAAGGGCAGGGGGTCGTCTTGGGACGTGCAGGTGGCCAACAGGTGAATAGAGTGAGGTGTTCTCATGTTGGGCGAGAGGGGGAGAGGTGGGGGTGGGGTTAAGTATTTGAATGAATGAGAAAGAGAAGAGGAAGAGGTGTGTGAGTGAAGAGTGAGGGAAGGGCAGTCGCGGGGAGAACGATCAGCTGACTGTGGCAGTGGACAGTCTGCGACAGGTTATGCTGGGGGAAGGGGGAGGGGGGAGGGTACGAACACCCCGTTCGCCCATCCGCCTCCACCTCCACCTTCGTAGCTCGGGGTCAACGATGTCTGCGTAAAGAATCCCGTCTTCTTGTGTGTCTGTATGTAAATGCCCCCCCCCCCCCCACACACACACACACACACACTCTCAGGTGCTCCATGAGTCAGTATGCTGGGCAGCGTGGTAAGCAGCGTGGCCAAGGGCCTCTCTTCCTCCCTGCCTCCCTCCCTCTCCCTCTCCCTCTGTCGGCTCCCTCACTCCTCCCGCTCCCTCGTGCGGTCTAGGCGGAGCTCCTCCCCGTTGGCAGCTGATAGTGCAGAAGCAGATGTTACGGCAGACGGTGCGCGGGGTGGAAGAGACGAGTGCAGCGGCTGGCCAAGTAGAGACGTGTGTGCGTGTGTGAGTGTGTGAGCGAGCAGGGCCACCAAGGTCGTGCGATAGAGGCGGCGGCCGCTTACTATGAGCAGTGCAGTGTGGAGTGAGTGGCGGCGGCTGGCAGTTAGCCCAGCTCACTCATGGAGACGTGGACCGTGAGGCCGCTCGCTTGTTCGGCCGCCGTGCTGTTATCGTGGCAACCAAGCATGCCCTTCGCCCCGGAACTCGTGCCTCGGGCCTTATGAAGGGTTGCGTGGGGTGCAGTGCGGTACACAAGTGTGATATTAACGGGTAGCGTTAAGTGTTAAGTGTAGAGAACCGTCCGTTGGGGGGGAGAAAGGCCCTGTCCTGGCCTTTGTGCCTTTGTATCAAGTGTCAGCCGTTCCTACTCGAGAAAGACTCGATGGTCAAGATGGGCCTCAAGGAGCTTGATTCGGGCGAGAAGAGGTGGAGTCATCCGCCGAAGAAGAAGTGGATTTATAACTACCTCGCTGACG